CAAACAACGCAGAATCGATCTCCCGAAAGCTATTGTTTAGACTACCAATAGCAACAAAAATTGCATTTGAACTCTCAAACGCAAAATCTTCAGCAAGCTTATGGATATAATAGGTCAGAGAAGTAAAGAATCATTCTTCATAGTTTTAACCGAAATTGTAACAGTAGCAGCAAAGGTAACACAACATTCTAGCAGCTGACAACATATTACAATTTTATAATACATATCCTACCTAATAACTAAACTATAGTTGAAACGACCAACAAGCAAGAAGTTATCATTGGCAAACAAACTTAAATAACCATGTCGTCATTCATACCGTTTTAATGAAGAGTTTATGGTGAGAAGTCTTATCATCCCAAACCAACAGCAGAACCCGAACCCCTTCTTGTGACTTATACTTCAACAATTCTCCTAGAGTCAAATCCCCACCTCGCGGCACCGGCCGAGTGGGCTCTCTAATCAACTTAATCTTGTGAAAAACGGACCAACCCACAATGTAAATCAAATGATGAGCTTCTGCTATCGCGTAGCAGATATCTTCCCAGCATTTATTCTGCTCATAAACCATCCCATCGTCCAATTCAATCCTAGGCAACTTGGCATCATCAGTAACATGAGCATCCTGATAAAGGGTAAGCGAATGCCCTTTTCTTAGCGGAAAATAAGTATTCCTCACCCCATTTTGGTCCGGGTCGCCCGCAATGCCATGCTTGTGAAACGGGCTTTTATCAGCAGGAACGAATTTCATCTCCAAGCGGAGAGCGGAGTCCGGTTTCGGCGGCTTCCCATCTTGGTCAGTCAACGGATACCACCCGGAGATCACTTCTCCAGAGGCGATTCTATCAACGGGTATTTTCACTGTCCCCATACTTTGAGCTCCGAAAACGTCATTGTCCTTGACCCGGAACTCCAGAAACTGAAGAGGGTGAGCCATGGGAATACTGAACCTCTCGTCCCACTTGGGATTCTGGGAGTTGGGCACCACGTGGGTGCGGACGAGAGTGGCTTGAGGGACGGAGACAGTAACGTAAGGGTCGCTGGTGATGATTTTGGGGTGATGGTGGATGAGTTTCTTATCGTGGTGGTGATGTTCTAGTCCGGGGTCGGAAGAGTCGGAGGAGAGGGGTTTAATGCAGGGCTGGCAGACGGTGAAGCAGCGGCGGAGACGCTCAGAAGTGAGGTCCATGTTGGGGAGATGACGGGCCTCAATTACGTGCAAATATAAGTCGCCGTACAAGTAAACCGATCCCTTGGTTGAATCCTCAGCCGCCATGGTCAGTTCTTTTTCTTTTCTCTTCTTCTTCTTTTCCTGTAAATCTGAATTCGAAAACAGAAAGCCTACCTAATTCGGGAGCAGAACAGGGAAGAAGGCATGGTTTGTTGAAGCATACATTTGAGTGAGATTTATGAGTAGAAACAAATACTCCAACATAAGAAGACACCTGAAAAAGTGAAGAAAGGGATAGATTTTTAATGAAACCGGTACTGGTGGGAAAAGGGATCTTGGCACGTTGTTTCTTTACAGGTTTGGTGAACGGAGTGGCGGGGGTGGGGGAATCCTGAATCGTGGGGAGGGGGTAAAGGAGAAGGTCGGTAGCTGAGGGGATTGGGTTTTGCATAAAAATCCCAGCCGGCTGGGAATATGGGAGCGGCCGTTGGTTGAGTGTATAGTATAGGAATGGACCAGAAATTGCCGGAAGATGCAGCAGTAGATTCAGAGCTGTGCCTTTACACCAGATCTTGTCTTGTCCACACAGATAAACTAATTAGCAGAGTAATTTTTTTTTCTTAGTATGTGGGATCCAGGGTTGGAATCTACAATAATGCGCAGCAAATCTACATGTGTTAAATTTGGGGAACGTACACCCGGACTTAGTAGAATAATTTTCTTGATGTACACCATTTATCCCGTGGGGGAAGCTAGAAAACTGGAGCAGCAAAGCTCTGTTTTAAGTTCAACAGGTTTCCCTTCCCACCTCGTGACTAGTGAGTGATAAATGATCAAAGTGGTTGTGCTGGTCTGTACAAGAAAATTGAAAGCGAAACGTGCTTTGGTGTGGAGGGTAAACTAGTAACGTGGACGAGGACGAAAAGGACATGGTGATTATCTATCTTTGGAAAGGGTGTAGACCAGAGAGTGAAAGAAAGAATTGATTCAACTGTGAGTTGCTTATTAGCTTCGTATAGATAAAGTAAGTTGATTAGGTTTGATTACCTTTCTTTGGGCAGACAATAATAAATGTGATTTAACGCGACGGGGAAATTGGAAAGCGGCAGTGATGTGATTGGATTGGAGATTATTCCCACCCATAAAAGGGTAGCAGAACTGATTACTGCTGCATTCTAGTTATTTATAGCAGTAAGTACTAGCATGTATAAACCACTGAAGCAGGGAGGGACGGCTGTAGGTGGGGTTCAAACCCCGTCTGCATAAAAAAATGATTCAAGGGTAACGTCGTAGCATCTCTTTGTGAAACCCCTATTTACAGCAAAAAAAATCTAAAAGTGATGCCGTAACACTTCTTATCTAATCAGATCTGTATATCTACTAATACTTTATACACAAGTCTCCACCTACCAGTCCCTTACATACAAGTCTTCTTAAGCTCCCCCTTCCCTGTAGATTAGGATAGAATAGGTCATGCAATTGTTAAGAAAGAAAAAAAAAAAAAAGTACTAGCATGTAGTGACTAAGACAACTATCTCGTTTTGAAGCAAAAGAGAGAAATAGTTATTAAACCCAAGCATGCAATGACCTTCTTGGGCCAGTTTCACTTGATAATGTTGGGGGCTCATTCTTCTGTGACCGCGAGCCAGAACAATATTAGGCCGGCCTGCTTGGAAAGTTGGTATGGCTTTTGAGCCTATTCAAGGAGAATGGACAATGGACAAGAAGGGCTCGCCAATAATGCCACAGGAAATGATTTATGCCATTGGACATGGATAGGAATGTTCCTTAGTGGGCTCATAAACTTTGGGACGGGCCGCTTTGATTGGTTATTCAGTTTCCAAAGCTACAAGCAAATTTTTTTTGTCTAATGGATTGAATAAATGAGGGAGAGAAATGAAAGGTCCACAAAAAACTTTGAAACCAGGATTATCTTAGGTGGCGTTTGGTTCGCACATCGGAATTGGATTCGGATTCGGAATCGGATATCTTGGGTTTGGAATGAGGTCATTCATTCCAATACATTTGTTTGGTTCAAGTACCTGGAACTGGAATGTGTATCATTACTATAGTTGATGTTTGGTTCGTCGACTCTTTCGGAATGGAATATAATAAATATATTATAAATCACATTGTAAATGATAGTTATTGGCTCTTTGTAAATGAGATATAAGAAATTTTTACTAATTAAATATATTAGTATAAATGTATTAGTAAATTTAGTCTAACTGATTAATAATTTCTATTAGTAAACATGTATAATTATTAGTATAATTGATAATATTAATTATATTACACAAATTAATATACATTATATAATATATATAACTAATATTATTATTATTATAAGTTTGTAACTAATTAAATTAAATATTATATATATAATTAAATATAAATATACAAATGTTATAATATAAATATACAATTATAATTATATAATATATACAAATATTAATTATACAAATATTTTATATAAATGTAATATATATTACATATTAAATATAGTTGTTATTATATATTATTATATTTAAAATAATAATAATTATTATAATTATATAATTTATTAATATTACATACATGTATATATTATAATTATACGCACATATAATATACATTTATAAATATACATATATATTATAAATATATTATTATATAATATTAATAAATTTATAATATATATTATATAAGTATAATTATATTTAACTAAATAATTATAATATATAATTATATAATATAATAATATCATTATTATAAGTTTGTAACTAATTAAATTAAATATTATATATAATTAATTATAATTATATGAAAGTTATAATATAAATATATAATTATAATTATATAATATATAAATATTAATTGTACTAATATTTTATATAAATATAATGCATATTAATTAGATATAGTTATTATATATTATTATATTTAAAATAATAAATAAATATAATTATATAATTTATTAATATTATATACATGTATTTATTTTAATTATATGCACATATAATATACATTTATAGATATACATATATATTATAAATATATTATTATATAATATTAATAAATTTATAATATATATTATATAAATATAATTATATTTAACTAAATAATTATAATATATATTTATATAATGTACTAATATTATAATTATAATATATTATATATATGTATATATTATAATATATAATATATAATATATATAAATATTAATTATATCATTGTATAATTATAATATGTAATTGGATTTGTTTCTTGGAATCAAACTTGGGAATCGGACAAAACCCACCAAAATACTTGGGAATGGAGAAACACCAAATTTTTAGAAATCATTCCAAGATTTCAATTCCCATTCCAGTGAACCAAACACCATTTATGGGGTTCATTCCATTCCCCGAATCCGATACCCTCTTACCAAACGCCCCCTTAGATTCTGTGTACTAGGATTTAAGGTCCTCAGGATTTACCCAGAAGTCAGCAATTATCTTTTGAATAAACCTGTAGAATTACCTTAGATTCTCTATGTGTGTGTGTGTTTATTATTTACTGTTGAAAGACAAAAAATTTTGAAAACAATAAATGGTGGAGAAAACAATTTAAGAGATTATTGCCTTTGTTATTCTTCCCTTTTAGTGGGGGGCTATTATAACTTATAAGATGTATATGTTTTATAATTACCAAATCAAGTAAATGCCAGTTCAAATTGAAATTTTCATACCCCAAAAAAAAAAAGAATAGAAATACAGAAAGCCCTTTTTTCAAGTGAACGCGTGACACCTGGCTACGCTTTTAAACCCGATTTGACTAGTTTTAGCCGACCTTAAACGCTTTTATAGTCGGCTGAGTGCCAAAAGCAAAGCAATAAAATCCCAGAAGCCCTAACCTCAACCTCTAAGCCTCTACATTCTCCGGACAACAAAAGCCCTAAGCAGCTCAACCCTTTTCCACGCTAGCCCCGGCTTCCTGCTGCTCCGCCCAATTCATCCGCCGCTTCTTCCTCAAGCTACGGCCGAAGGTCGCGGTACCTGCAATTCATCTATCTGAGGTATAATCCATTAATTGACCAATTCTTGTTATGATTCACTACCTGCTCAAGTTGCAACATCTGTAGGATTATGTGTTCCGGTGGATTTCGAATTATGATTTCATAAATTGTAGGGCAAAAATTGATTGAAACTTAACTTGTTTGTGATTAATTTTGGTCTCTCACTTGCCGCATCCATCTCCTTCCTGCATATCTCCTTTTTCTTTATTTATTTTCTTATTTCTTTTGGCTTGGGCTTTTATATATGTGATTGTGAGCTACAAATGAAATTTGATCCCGCTGACGCGACAGCTTCTAATTCGTAGTTGTTAAAGAAATCGTTTTGAAAGAAGCTGATTGGAGACCTTTTTTTTTATTGCTTTTATCCCTATAAATATTGGTAATTGGCCCAGGACTTCACTTAACTGGAACTCTATTCAATATGGTCTTTTTTTTTTTTTGGCCCCTGATTGATCGTAACACGGCATGAAGTTGTAAGCACTGAAACGTTGATGTGCTGCTTCTATTAACACTCTTCTTTGTTTTTTAAACCTACGGCTAAATTGTCTGCCATTCTCTCCTTTGAATCTGTGCCTAGGTAGGAAAACCTATGAAAGGTGTGAACTCTAGTTTAGTCTCTGAAGATTACGTGATATTCTGTGCACGAGTTTCGTGATTATTAACTGCTTATCTTATGCCAGTTTGGCAATGAGCTAAGAGCTGTGTTTGGGTGCAAACTGCAGGTGTCGAGCTCCAGAGCAAGTTGCCTGGTTCTGTTGGTGCAGAGGTCATACTTTTGTTGTTGACCAAAACAATATCGTGATCTTGTTTGTATTATGGTGTAGACTTTATAGAGAACTTCATTTTTTTGTAACCTATGGCTGCCACTAGTAGCATGCGTCTTATATCTTACGCCGAAGAGATTATAGATGGACAGGCAGTCTATGTATCCTCCAACAGCTCTCCTGTTAAGGCTTTCAATTTTGAACCAGCTGGGCATGCATTTCATTCGGCTGCTCTTCGACTTTCTGGTGTTTTGGAGGATGACGATAATGATAATGACGATGAAAAAAGTGATACTACAAGTGACAAGGATCAGAGTTATACCCAAACGTCGGAATCGTACAGCACTAAAGGTAAAAAGAAGTCTGGTTCTGGAGAGAAGCAACAGGATCATTATGCACTACTGGGATTGGGTCATTTAAGGTATCTTGCTACTGAGGATCAAATACGAAGGAGCTATCGTGAGGCTGCATTAAGGCATCACCCTGATAAGCAGGCTGCCCTTCTTCTTGCTGAGGAAACAGAAGCTGCAAAGCAAGCAAAGAAAGATGAAATCGAGAACCACTTTAAAGCCATCCAAGAAGCATATGAGGTCCTGATTGACCCTACCAGGAGAAGAATTTATGACTCAACTGATGAGTTTGATGATGAAATACCTACTGACTGTGCCCCACAGGACTTCTTCAAGGTGTTTGGACCGGCATTCTTGAGGAATGGTCGTTGGTCTGTTAGCCAGCCTATTCCATCTTTAGGGGATGAGACCACACCACTCAAAGAAGTCGATAACTTCTACAATTTTTGGTACAGCTTTAAAAGCTGGAGGGAATTTCCTCATGCTGATGAGTTTGATCTTGAGCAGGCAGAATCTAGGGACCACAGAAGGTGGATGGAAAGGCAGAATGCGAAGCTCTCAGAGAAGGCTAGGAAAGAAGAATCAGCTCGAATACGTGCTCTTGTTGACAATGCTTACAAAAGGGACCCCAGAATTCTGAGAAGGAAAGAGGAGGAGAAAGCTGAGAAGCAGAGGAAAAAGGAGGCCAAAATTCTGGCAAAGAAGTTGCAGGAGGAAGAAGCTGCTAGGATTGCTGAGGAGGAGAGACTCAGGAAGGAGGAGGAAGATAAGAGAGCTGCTGAAGCTGCTTTACATCAGAAGAAGGTGAGGGAGAAAGAAAAGAAGCTATTGCGCAAAGAGCGAACCCGTCTTCGAACACTTTTGGCTCCACTTTTGTCGTGTGATCTTTTGGAAGAGGATGTTGAAAAGTTGTGCATGTCACTTGACATGGGGCATTTACGGAACTTATGCAACAAGATTGAAGAAAATGAAGATGTGCAGAGAGTGAAAATTGTGAAAGATGCTCTTGGACATGGTCATAACTCGAAGGATGAGAAAGAGGATGTGAAGGGTGCACTGCGGAATGGTGCTGCTTTGGAGGCTAATGGACAATTTCCATTAGGTACGAAGGAGAAAATAGAGAAACCATGGAGCAAAGAAGAGATTGAGCTATTGAGGAAGGGGATGCAGAAGTACCCGAAAGGAACATCACGAAGATGGGAAGTTATTTCTGAGTATATTGGTACTGGAAGATCTGTTGAAGAGATCTTGAAGGCAACAAAAACTGTTCTTCTCCAGAAGCCTGACTCAGCTAAAGCTTTTGATTCTTTTCTTGAGAAAAGAAAGCCAGCCCCTTCCATAGCATCTCCGCTCACAACTAGAGAGGAAGTAGAGGGAGTATCAAATGGTAATGCGTCTCAGAAGCATGCTGGTAAGCCAGATAATTTGCAAGACTCTTCCAGCCAAACTGCAAACCAGCAAAACTCAGATGTTGCCGTGTCTGCTGAAAATGGGGTATCTTCAACTGGAGACCAAGACGTATGGTCTGCTGTTCAAGAAAGAGCATTGGTTCAAGCATTGAAAACTTTTCCGAAGGAGACTAACCAGCGATGGGAGCGAGTTGCTGCTGCAGTGCCAGGAAAAACTGTTGTCCAGTGTAAGAAGAAATTTGCTTTGCTGAAAGAGAGCTTCAGAAACAAGAAAAGTGCTGTTTAGCTAGTTCTAATTAAGTTGTTAATGGATATGATGACACGAGGTCTTAATTCTTCTTCCAAGCGGAGGGTAGACATGTTGAGGGCATTTTGGGAGGTATTGACATCCATTTTTCGGCTGATGTGGATGCACGGAGTATCATACAGCTCCGGACCTAGATAGGTGTAAGCACGTATGACATCTTCGTACTTATATGAACTACATAGTTGCTGTAGGAGGTATATCCATCGCGTGTTTGGGCCCTTGTCGATGCACATCTTATTACACATTTTTGGGATCTACAAAGGTGTGCACGAATACCGAGGAGGTCTCTGATAGTTATTCAAATTCCACTTATTTTTTGGGGCTATGGCATTAGAACTATTTTGATAAGAGTGCTAAAATTTTTGGATGAGCGAGTTTAAAATAATGTAAGAGCCGCGGTTGTTGCTCATGTCTTGCTCGTTCATATAAAAGCATCTGAGAGGGCATGTGTTTGGCACTTGCTTTTGCTGTTTATATTCGTATCTCGTTGTATTCCGTTCCTGGGTGTGATTAAGCAGCAAAATGACCTCCTTGCGCACGAAATTGCTGAACTGTGCTCAGCCTACCGGAACTCACGCTGGGTAGATCAATTCCTTTTCTTGAACGTGCAATGGATTGTATGTCAGTTTCCAAATGCAAGATTGTGAGTAGTAGAAGTTGACTCCGCTGATGTTATCGAGCGTGTAAATACTAAATAATGCATATGCACAGGCTCATCGTCTCTCTCCTCTCGTCCCTGATTGCTGGGACTCTCTTAACTAAGCTTCAGCACATATGCTTGACTCAAGCATACGACACATCGCAAAGGAAATACCAAAAGACAGAAAATAAGACATATTGTGAGAGGGTGTGGTGGAAAGGAAACTTGGACAAATTTTATTAATTATACTTGTGCTGAAAAAAACAATAAGATTTCCTTCCTTATCGAAATTTTGATCCATGCCATACTCCTCAAAACTTGCACTGACCAAATGTTTTATGCTTATTTCATCTGAACTTCACTCTTTGGAGATGCTTTGGGAAAAGTAGTGCTGCAGTAGGATAAAAAACAATCAAATTAGTCGATCCTCGCTCGAAATGAACTCGTCCTATAAGATTCTGTTTCACGCATATTTATTACTATCCTAAATAAAATAGTTCTCTCTCTTTCTACGCGTCATATTATGTTAATCTAGAGTGCGATGATCAAATTGCTTCAATTTCTTACTGTAATGTTAGTATTCATCTGTAAAATTCTGCACAGGATTAATAAGGAAACCCATCCATGCGGAGCCTGCGGTGTCAGGAAACTCGTTCGTGTTATGTGACGAGGTTCCTGAGTTCTACTCGCAAGAGTCTTTGTTAGCAGACGAGCGATTCCGTCCAGTCCTGAAATTTTTGAGCGTGTACTTGACAGAGAGGGAACGGAAGGCTCGTGTCATTAAGTTAATGACATCGTTCTTTTAATCGTCTCGAAACAAAAGCAGTCACTAAAAATACGATGTAAAATAGAATATGTGATTTTGAAAGTTCCCAAAAGCCTTGAACCAAATTAAAAGATATATATATATATATATAGCAGCAGGCCTGTAACCTTGACAACCACATCCTCTCAGACTCAACTAAGCTAAAAAACACGAGCCAACGTAAAAGAGAATCCTCGAGACAGCTGAAAGCATCAGTTACAATTCTGTCCTACCCAAGGCATTAACATGTCCCTTTAGGAGTCTACCATAACGTGAAAAAGTACTATTCGTACAAATCTCAGCACATTTTGATAAAAAAACCTATCGAAATAATAACAACGAAGAAATCCTTCAAACGCCAACACAAGCCCGAATAGGCATCTCGTAATGTTTGACAAACCTAATGCAAAATATCGTGCTACTAAATACAATGTCTTGTACAGCATGTCATTATCAACCATTGACCAACAAGTTCCCACTTCAACCTGCTCCATGAAGGCCGAATACAAAACCAAATCACAACAATAAGGCCAGCATAAGAGAGAGAGCAATTCAAAGTCCACAAATATCATGGTCCGGTCTGAGAGCTCAACCTACTGACGAGGTTCAGCCTCCTGCCCCTTAAGTCACCCTCCTCCCACCTCAGCGACGACCCCTATCATCCTTGACGCTCTTGTCATCTCTCTCAGTTGTTCGCGAAGTGTATTGGCTTGTAGATGATGGAGAGTACCCAGGTGCAGTAGGTGAATATCCAGCACTTGGACTAAACAAAGCAATAGTTTCTATAAGAAGAAGAAGAAGGAGAGAGGGAGGGGAAAGAAGGGTCGAATCCCATTTTGGAACGGGGGACTTGAATTCTTACCTATATTGTGGAGAACTTGGGCTATAATCTGGATCTCCACCAGAGTTGTGTGGACTGAAATAGCAATTAAATCAGAAAGCATGTGAAAAAGCAGGAAGCAGATTTTAGCGTAAATAGAGAAAACAAGATGGAAATCACATGTAAAAGAAAGCAAACAAATCAAGGAACCCATACGAAAGTGGTAACACAATTGTTGAGGATGTTACCTGCTTGGGCTATAAGTTGGACTCGAAGGGGAATATGATGGGGATGTTGGAGAATACGAAGGTGATGTTGGGCTGCATGACAAAAATTAAAGCATGTAAGTGGACAAGGAACTAAACTAAAGTCATCAAACTTAATGTTAACATGCGTGACTAGAGGAGAATTTACAAATCAAAAAAATAACCAAGCAACTGCCTACTTGCAGCAGATGCAACCAATACTTTTGCAAAGGGCCAAGCCCTTACATGCAGGATCAGCATCCTGCAAGTTTGAAATTTGTAGAACGGACAAAAAGGTACCTGTAACTTGGAGAGGAAGGACTGTATGGGCTTGAAGGTGACAGCTTCGGACTAGTTGGGGAGTATGCAAGTGAAGGGCTGTACCTTGCCGAGGGATTGTAGCTAGGAGACGTGGGACTATAGCTCGGTGAGGTAGGGCTATAACTTGGGGAGGTGGGGCTGTAACCCGGAGAAGTTGGACTATATGCAGGTGATGTGGGACTGTATGATGGAGAGGTTGGACTGTAAGAGGGTGAGGTTGGGCTATAAGAAGGTGAGGTAGGGCTATAAGAAGGTGAGGTAGGGCTGTAAGAAGGTGATGTGGGGCTATAAGATGGGGAGGTCGGGCTGTATGCTGGGGAGGTCGGGCTGTATGCTGGGGAGGTGGGGCTATAACTCGGAGAGGTCGGACTATAACTGGGAGAAGTAGGACTATAACTTGGAGATGTTGGGCTATAACTGGGAGATGTGGGGCTGTAGCTGGGAGAAGTGGGTGAGTATGAAGGACTAGTTGGAGAATAAGCAGGACTAGTTGGGCTATATCCAGGAGAACTGGGACTATAAGTAGGAGAAGTTGGACTATAACCAGGGGAAGTGGGGCTGTAACCAGGGGATGTAGGGCTGTAACCTGGAGAAGTGGGGCTGTAACCAGGGGATGAGGGGCTGTATCCAGGGGATGATGGGCTATAACCTGGAGATGATTGTGGAGAGAAAGTTAATCCCATCGATTGCACAAAAGGAGAGAACTGAGCATCTGCATGAGGTGACAACCGGGCATTTGGACTTGTCAAATAACCTGGAGACATCATCCCCTCGTGGTAGGGCGTTCCACCAAAAGGCGAACGACCAGGTGTCATCCCAAATTCTAGGTTACCCTCCATGTAACTGGGAAGAGAAATCTCAATAGCCTGTTTCAACATCTCCTCGTTGAGGTACAAGGCACAGTCTCCTGTGCCAATGGGTGCAAGCTGACCCAACATTATATTTTCAGTAACCCCCCGGAGGTAATCTGTTTCCGCATAAACAGCAGCATCGAGAAGTATATCAACAGTTTCTTCAAAAGAGCACCTCATCAATGGCCCAGTATCATTTCGATTAATCCCATGACGAGTGATTGCCATCAAATGACCACGATAAGTCATGGTATCACACAATATTGCAAGGTGCCGGTAGTTTACATAAGACCCATCAAAGGATATGACAACACGCAATTCGTCCAGCAATGCCTTACGTACTGCCTCTATTCCAAGAATTTCAATAACTTCAATCAAGTGATTACTTGTCGTCCTGCTGGCATCAACATCTTCATGGCACATAACGGCTAAAAGATTAACACCTTCTGAGTCCAACATAAACTCATTGGAGTCTGTCTTAAATCCTTCCTCCTGAGTAAATTTGTTTACTTTAGCTTGTTTGATAAAAACTTTGTTAATATCAGGAATACCCCGAAGAGCCATTTCGGTTAGCATGTTGCTCTCAATCTTTTTAAGGAAGACATCATCCTCAGCAGATTCATCATTCAGCTCCCCCTTGGGTGCTTCATCATTCATGATCCGAATACGAAGTATCAGCTTATCAGCGTTGTCATCATTGAATATACAAGTCAGATCACTATCAAACTCAAGGTTGATCTTCTCCGCGATGTCTGCCATACTCAGCTTCTTGTCTACCATCATTTCCCGATTCAACTCTATTCTCAGCAACCAGGGAGAAATTTTATCAGGATCGATGTCTTCATCTGGCATTTCATAATAAGACTTCACAAATTCAACGTCTTCAGGGATTATGGTGCTCATTGGATCTGGATCGTACCATACTTCCGTGGCCTGTGTAACACTACGCAAGGTGGTGTATTCTAAAGCACATTGGACATTTTTTGCCTTCTCCTTTGTTTCACTTGCCTTATGCTTCAGGTATATTGAGAGAGACGGTGTTTTTATCTTCTTAGCCACATTAATGATCTCCCTCAACCTAGGAACACCAAGGGTAACATTCTTGGCACTCACACCAGCATAATGGAATGTATTAAGAGTCATCTGAGTGGCAGGCTCACCAATGGATTGTGCAGCAACACAACCAATCATTTCTCCAGGAGCGACAAGTGACTGTAGGAAACGCGACTCTATCTCACCAATTACCCAATCAAAAGCTTCACGAGTAAGCCTGTAGTCATTCAATACTCTTTTACTCGCCAAGGCACTCCGAAGCAATATATTGAAGAAAAGGGTAGCATTCTTTTGAGCTTCAGCACTAAGATAATCATCACCATGAACAACCTTAAGCCTCTCCTGTAGCTTATCTACTGCTTCAACAATCTCCATGGGATGCATATCTGAAGGCCTTCGGAAATCTATCTTAAAGGTCTTCTGTGCATTTGAGACAAGTCTCCTAATGTTTACAGGCAAAGGCCAGGTGTTATCACCTGTGGTTGCAATCTCTGTCCCTAGTTGCAACCTATCAGCTTCAAGTTTCTGAAACTCTGCTTCAAAAACACTCCGGATTTCCCGGATGGTCTTTAGATCTTCCACAGCTTCCGGTAACATGTAATCAGGGTTCCAATTCGGATCATCAATCTCATATTTGTACATGCTATCAAATTCACCTTTCTTGACTTTTAAGGATTCCAGTTTCTGTGATTCAATCCACACAGAATCCATGCCATCTTCCCCATAAAGAAACTGAATA